GGGGGGGTCGATGACACGGATACGGCTGATGGGGGCGGACGTGCCATACTGACCAACAGAGATATATCTCCTGACTGACTGGATGGCGCTCTGACTGAAATGTGAGGATCTGGGAGCTGATTGCTCCGAATTCCCCCCCCCAAGAGCACACTCGCCCCTCCCCTGCCCACCCCCCCACTACCGGCAATCACAATTATTACTCTAAGAAAAGGCTCTATTTTTGCATTAACTTAAAAGGCCTGTATCTTTTTCTCCCTTCAGGACTGTAAGACCTCACTTACTCTAAGTATCTCTATAAATCACCAGTTACTGTTAACATGTACTCCACGATTCAGTCATCAATCTCGCACTGGGTCAGAGTGAAAATGTGGGGGAAAAGTGCTTAGTAAACTCTGGTGTGAGCTTGTGTGTCCGGGGGGGCCTCTGGGGGGCCTTCACACAAACACCGGCCATGTTTGCATCCCATGCCAACAAACAAACAAATTACTGGTGATGGAAGAAACCTGAGGCCTCTGTTCCCGACAGGCCAGTGAGGGGATATTAATGTGTTAGTACTCTGCAAGAAAGTGCCTTTAGGTTTCAGGGCTTGCTGTTTATTTAACAAAAGGGAGACCTCATTGTAGGCGATCAGGGTTATCCACCCCATAATGTGAATCTCCTGCACAGCCAGACCCCCCCCCACTCCCCAACACGCTACCTCGCCGGCAGCAATTACACAGCGATGCGGTTCACAGAGAGACTTGGCCAACATCTGTATCCAAACAGAGAGATAAATCTCCTAGACGAGGCCGTGGGTGACTCCCTGCCACCACGCTGGTCAGCAGGGCACGCTCACGCGGGCGGCTGTCCATCGCAAGCTAAATGCTAAGGAGCGCTGCCATCCTATGCCAGCTGCTCCCCCCTTTCAGACCTTCTCTAATTTGGCCCTACAGGTATCACAGCAGCAACGAAACACTTAAAAGTTAAGCTGAAAAAAGTCAGGATTGAAAAGTTTTTAAGGCTAAATTAACAGGTGAATAAATAAATCAATAATAAATAAACTGTTTAAAACTGTTTAAAGTATTAAAAATATTTAATTTCAATACACGGATCAACACTGGCAAGTTTTTGACATCACACACCCAAACAGTGGAGTATTATCTCATGCTGAATCTACGGAATAAACACACTGCTTATGACATCACACACCCTAACAGCGGAGTATTACCTCACACGGAATGTATGGAATAAACACACCTCTTATGACATCACAAACCCAAACAGAGGAGTATTACCTCACACCCAATGTATGGAATCAGACTGACACAGCTTATGACATCACACACCAAAACACCCCCCCCCACCCCAGTGTATGTCAGCTGGTCTTCCTGCTTGCTATGGGGCTGCTCTCCCCCATAGCATACACACACATACACAGACATACACCCACACAGGGACACACGCGGCCTGCCCAGGCTCAAGCTGCCTTACCTGACAGGAAGCTGCCCCGCTTGCTCTGCCCCAGCTCTCCCTGTCGCTCTGGAGGAACTCTCTCCACAAAGCAAGGCATTTTCCCCCCTCTCTCCAGCCACGGTGCTCCTCGCCTGGGCTGTGCTGCTCTCTCGCTATCTCCCTCCCTCCCTCTCTCCCTCCCTCCCTCTCTCCCTCCCTCCCTCTCTCTCTCTCTCTCTCTCTCACACACACACACACACACACACACACACACATACACACACACACACGCCGGGTACAGATGTTAGGCAGGGGTGCATTTACCCACTTCACCAGTAGGGGTCCCTCACTGCCCTCTGCTCCCCAGAGGCTGCCTTTGGAGTGACAAGCCACACCCCCTCCCCTCACAATCCCCAGTCCGGTAAGAGGGTCCGTCATCACCTGCTCATCTCCGGACTCCACATCCCCGTCAGCACCACCCCAGAGCGTGAGAGCCAGGTCTTTGATGGGCCCCGTCGTAAACATGACGGGCAGCCATGCTAGCTGGTGAAACTGAGACCACGAGCCACACGCAGGCCTTCAGCCCCGCACAGCTCTTCTCCGCTGTCCCGCCGCCTCCCCCTGTGTTTTTGCCTCCCTGTTTTCCTGTCGTGTCGTTTCTGGAATGTTAACAGGACCCTCGAAGCGCTACCTGAGTGTGTTTTTGCCAGTTTAATGTCCCATGGTGGCAGGGGTGGGTGGGGTGGTTGGTCCGTCCACGGGAGAGACAAACAAGCATATATCTCGAATATCGGGGAACTTGAAACTGTGTGTCAGTGTAATTGGAAGGTTTCAAAGGTGAACAGGAAAACAGCCATTGGGCGCACGGGTGTGCCTGCAATCAGAACGGGAGCGGAGAGCCGTGTAATCAGTGGGAACCGCACTGCCTGGACTCCAGAACCTTTTGGAGAACCTGGGATCACCTTGCTGTATGAGGTGGAAGCAGCTACCCCCCCCCCCCCCAGGCTCCCTATAGGAGGGGCGGATCATGCAGGATTGGCCCCTTACTCATTTACTGTTCGGGTCAGGGGGGAGAAGGGGGAACCCTCCCTCGAGACCCCGGAAAAGCCCGGAAGGTGCCGGGTCCCGGCTGACTGTGATCTCGCCACTACCTCATTGGCTGAAGGGCATGCTTGCGCTGCATTGAACCAGGAACGATTCGACAGGCTGAGTTAAATAAAAGACCGTGAACGTACTTGAAACGTGATATCAGTCTGGAGAATTGTTAAGAAAAATGGCACAAATCCTCCAAATCGATACTATCAAAGGATTTAAAAGAAGCATTCTACTTCCAGTACATGTCTACCATTGTTTATTTGCATTTCCAATCAATAGCAATATTATACAAGCAATGATTCCTTTCCGGCTATTACATTCTGCAACATGTATCATGTTCCAGATTTTGATCATGAAAGACGATTTTTGCCATTCAAACATGCGGATCTGAGGAGCCTCGCTCACTTACCCTACACTACAGAATTCCTAAACGTGAAAGTGCTTCCCTCACAGCCTTAATGGGGAAAAAAAACGGATGGTTTGGCTTTCTGTCCGTTGTCGTTTTCCTTGAAACCAACAGCCCGTGTCACTCCATACGGACTCCGGCTAAATGGATTTTCTGACAACTGACCTGTAAATATAGCCAGATCTGCAAGCCCCCCCCAACATCCACACACACACACACACACACACACACACACACGTACCTCGGCTCCCCCCTCCCACTTTGCCATCAGCAGCCTGCACCCCACAGCCAGACACTCACTGCCCTGTGTCTCTCCCCCCCTCCCCAGCTCCCAACACCCAGAGCCCGGCTCCATTCCCTCCGCCACTATAAAAACACAAATATGCCATAACTCAGCCGGCACAGCCATCTTGCCCCCATGCCGGGGGGGGGGGCTCTCAGGAAGGTCACCAACAAATGGTTTTCCAATTCACTGCCCCTGAAATAATTTTGTGCATTAAAACCTGAATCTGCACTTTCTGGCCTGAAAGCTTCCCTAATTATTCCGACGTCCTTGGGATGGCCACAGGTCCTTCACACAGGAGAAACTGCCCACCCACCCCGGCCTGACAGCCACAGACACCCCCCCATTCCCTCTCTCCTCTGCCTCCCTCTCCCCCTTCACGGCGACCCCCCCAATCTGTTTTCAAAGCGTGTCTGTCCTTTATTAAATTGTTTTCTTTTCCACATTATCAGTTGCCATGGAGACCTCATCTCTCGGATTATTTGAATTTCATTATATCTATTGATTTGGGAGCATTTCATCTTTTTTATTGTTTTTCTGTCAATTTTCGAAACGAATAACCATCTAATTTGCGTCAGCGCTGATTACGTTCGTCCCTCAATAGAGGTCGGCAGCTGCGCCAGGGAAACAAATCAATGAAAAAACATCATAAAACTCCAAAGTACAATCAACCAGGATATGGGTGACATTCCGCGGTTGCCGAAACGAAGTCATCAAAAAATATATACTTTTTTTTGTGCCTTTGCATGCGTGCGTGCGTTTGTGTTCAATGTGGTGGTGGTGGTGGGGGGGGGGATGTTCTTGTGTGCCTAGGAAAACATATTGTGATATATATTGGGGGAAAATACAGTAAACTAACCCTGCAAACCAATAGACACCCCCGCAAAAAAAAAAAAAAAAAACAAAAAACAAAAAACGCTTACTTTGTATTTAAATAATTTATGCAATTTTAGCATTTATGTATAAATTTTTTAATAAGCCGCACGGAGCAAAGTGGCCATTAACAGAACACACAGCTGTCCAATGGGCTCAGCACTGCAGATCAATTGCGCTGTTTTATGACATGATAAAATGCTTTTAAAGCAATTTACACAAATATGGAAAAAAAAATTTGCTTCACAGGCTTCATTTATTCATAAGGCCGGGGATTAAAAAAAATGTGGTGAAAGCCGACGGGGGTGGATGGTCCCGGGCCTGACTGGAAGGGACTCGCTGTCCTTCCCTGCAAGGACGTAAAGTGCCATTACTGATGCAGGCAGTCAGGGGCAATTTAAGGAACAGGGTGTGCAAAGAGAAACATCAGCATATTGAAACTGGTCATGTATTAAGGGCTTGCATTTTGCCCCCCCCCCCCATTTTATTTATTTATCTTTTTATTTTTTTGGGAGTGGGGGTTGATTAGGACACCCTTGGCCCATGTCCCTTGGCGGCTGGATTCAGGGGAGATGACGGGAAGTCTATGATATTGGCCGATGAGGGAGAGGTGGTGCAGTGTGGGACGGTGCTTGGATGGGCGGTGAAGCAGCCAGGCAGAGCGAGCGGGAGCTCATGCTTCCTCACATACAGGGAGGACGCCAGGGGGCATGGCGGTTTAGGGCCTGAAGGATGCGGGCTGCATTCCCCTCCAGCTAATAAATACATGTAAAAACAACTAAATGGGGAAATGATGGCACTGCTGCCCGCGATTGAAAGGTATAAGGTCCCTGAGCATATTTACCATTGATTAAGCACCGTGCCCCCAGCTGCCCCCGGCCCGTCGGTGTCTATCTACTCTTCAAGGCCGAGCGCTTCATCTGGAGCGCAGCGCATGGCGCGTCAAAGGGCTACGAGAGGGACCCCCGCCGAGTGAGGGACCCCCGTCGAGTGAGGGCTCCTCTGCGTTTGTCTGTGTGCCGACGCGTCTGCCCTCACGGCTCCGTCGCTACATTGTTCAAAACATGTTTTCTGTCCCCCTCCACCCCCCCCCACCCCGCTGCCCTCCAACACAATGCGAGACAGAGGAGCGGGAGACTGGATAAACACTATTTTATGTATCACTGTATGAATTCCGCGACAGTAATTACAGGCTCACGCCAGGCTCCCACACTGAGCAGACCTGGCAGCTCGCGCTGCCGTCATGTAAAACTGTGGGTGTACAAAGTACTTGACAGTGTTTGTTCCAAAACTGAAAGGAAATGAAGTTAAACAACAAAAAAAGCAGTATTAGGGATTCACTGACATAAGGCTAAGCTGGCACAAAATAACAGCTACAAATCCTGAACCGTATAAAAGTATCAAGGGATGCTGCCCTTACAGGCCACCCTGGGGTGTAAAGCACAGTTTGGAAGCTTTTAAAGACAATTTCCTTTTTTTTGTCTCCCCATCAAGCTGTCCTCTACGTTTATCGCTGTGACAGCAGTAACACGCCTGTGTCCCGAACTAAACATTCCCACAGTGAGTAACAGGCTCTATTTCACTAGCCCCCTCCAGACAGCCCCGCCACCCCCCTGAACCCCCCCACCCCACCAAACTGTTTACACTGTAGAGGCAGTACACCAGGCCTTCCTGTGCTAAAGGTATACCATTAGAGTTTAAGCCATAATTACAGGGGCCAATCGGGCCAAGCCGGGGCCATCTGCGCAGTGCTGAATTAATGCAGCCCGGCATCCCAGGCCCTGCGGTCCATGAGAGATGTTTACACCACATCCATGCTGTACCCTGCTACTCAGTAGGGAGTTCAGTTTCACACAAAGTGATGACAGGAAGGCTGTGAACCTCCACTTTCAGATTTTAAGGTGCACTGCAGGTGGGTTTCTTAAAAATATTGCTTCCGCTCTGATACAAAAGTCTCAGGTCAGACCACCGTAAAAATCTGGTTAGGACCAACTCTGTCTGTCAGTCACCTGTCTCACTGAGCATGGAGAGCACACACAGGTCAGGGGGCCTGAATGAAATTGAAATTTAATGTGATTAATTAAAAAAATAAGACATGCCGGGGTCAACAATCTGGCTGACTTGAAAAGGTGACTTAAAAAAGACGCATCCCAGGCCGACGGAGCAGTAAACCAGCGTATCGCTGTCAGGGGCCTTAAAAAGCACGATTAAGCTGGAGTTAATTATTAAAATGTATAATTATTGACCCCTATTTTCTATTCCCCTGGAAGTACATTAGATATATAAACGGGGCAGGATGGAGTGAGAAGCGCATCTCTCCAGGCCGGCTAATGCGCTCTCCGTGCGCCAGCATCCTCCAGGCCCTAAAGTACCTCTTACTGATGAACACCACCACTTAACGAGCCTTTTTCCTTTTTTTCCCTTCAAAATGAAGTATTGCTGAAGCCATCAACAAACATTAATATCAGGCCCCCCTGCTGGACTCTAACCACCTTCGCTCCGGCTTCCACTGC